GAGAGAGAGAGAGAGAATTGAACAGTTACATCAACTCAACTATCTAGGAGCCATAATCACAGACGATACATAATGAAAAGGAAATTGACATAGACAACACTTCACTTCAAAGCATTTATCCGAACAGATTTAATACAAAACTGAAGAGCAGACGCTGCTTCCTTTTTTGTGTGTAAAAGTGGAATTTAAAGGCAACGGTCTAAACTTTGAAGTATTTAATAATGAGACATAGCAATCGAAACCTACACCAGTATAAATATTTATTCTCAACCTTAAAGTCATGAAAACCCGGCTCTGTCATGCTCTTAACAATACGTTTTATTAAAAGTTACCTTCGTTTGAATTGTGAGGACTGAAGACTGCGTGGTTTCTTCTAAAGAGTGACGTAACGGTCAGTGCCACCAGAATTACTAAAGATGTATTAAATTATATTCATTCTATAGTGCGGTCTGTAATTCGTGGCGCAACTGATCCTCAAATATCTCTTCAATGGATGAATCACTGTCACCCATACTTAACAAAGCAGTGAGTATCAATTTGTCTTAACAAATCATATTTTTCAACAGCAGTTATGAGTCTAGATTTTAAAACTTTTCTTCATAAATGTATATAAAATACTATAAATCTCCGTCATGCGAAAATGAGATTGTTCACAGCTTTTCCCGCTCCTCACACACATTCTGTATAAGCGCTTAGAGCTTGCTGTTGTTCGGGGATTTGCGCTATACTAATGCTATCTACTATTATTATTATTGTTATACACACATGACCTACGTCACAGCTCACCAACGACACGTTCTAGAGGCAAACTTTTACAGAAATTAATTTTATAGTGAACAAATTAATTTTGCACTCTATTTTCTCAAAACATGAGTTCAATAAAGATAAGATCGCGATTAGATAAAATGACGGACTTGCCTTTAAAAGCGATATTACCTGTGCTGTAAATCTTTTAGAATCTGTAGAAATCATTGACTGGCTTTTTTTATTAGCATTTATTGAGGAATTTGGTAGGATACTGTGTACAAGTGTTTGAAAAAATATTAATCAGTTAAGACAAATTGATATAAGTCACTTTGCAAAAGTTGGAAAATCTATGTTCAATAGTTTAGGAGATATTTGACAATATCTATGTTGCGCCACCAATTTTTGATCACACTATAATATTTTGTAACCTGAGGAATTCCCCATGACTGTTTCGCTCACTCAGATCCTGTGGCTTCCAAGTTCACACGGGCCAGCTGGTGTAATGATTTC